TCCCCTGCCCAGTGCCACCCAGGTAGGTTGGATTTCAGCTCCCACCTTCCCCAGCAACCACCAGGATGGTGGGAGTTGTAGTGCCACACCTCTGGAGGATGCCTGGTGAACGAGGGTGCTGGGAGCCACAGTGCCACGCCCCTGGAGGTGCCTGGTGTCTGGGGATGATGGGAGTTGTAGTGCCACAGCTCTGGGGGGTGCCTGAAGGGATGGTGGGAGTCGTAGTGCCACACCCCTGGAGGGCGCCTGGGGACGGGAAGGCTGCCTCCGGGCATTAACGAGGCTGGCGGATTCTCAGGACGGACGGACGGACGGACCGGCGCTGCGGATCAGGCCGCTCCCGGCGGGCTCGGCCCCACCTGCTTCTCCGGCCGCGGCCCGTCCAGCGCTTCAGCTGAGGAGGTGTCAGAACAATCCCCTGATAGCCAGGCCTATTTTTAGCGTGAGGATACAGCCCGGGCCGTGACAATGGCGGGAAGGGGGGTGGGCTTCCCCCAGCGACCGCGCGGCTGCAGCAAAGGCCCGAAAGGTTTCCTCGATGACCCGGAGCCACACAATGCAGGGAAAATGGAGCGGCGAGAGGCGCAGACAGTGCGCGCCAAGGATTATCTGCTCCTTTACCCAATGCCGCGACCCAGGGAGGGCAGGAAGCCAGTGGGCGCGGCTCGTGCCGCAGCTGGAAAACAAGGGGACATGCGGCGCGGCACTCAGCTTTTCCACTGGGCCGGTCCAAGAGCTGCTGGGATGGTGGATCGCTCTCCTTGTGCTCGGCCTGGCCGGCGGCTGTTCTATTTTGGCCATTCTTCCAAAGACACCGTGGCCCATCCCAAGCGGAGCCAGGAAGCGCGCCGCGGCTCCGCACCACGTCCACGCGCTGCCCTTCCTCGCCACGCCGTCCCGCGAGCGCCACTCGGCCACTCCCCGGCTCCACGGACCCAGCGGGGCGCCCAGTGCTTGCCCTCTGAGGTGCTCGACCCCGTGCAAAATGCATCTGGCTGCGTGGGCGCGGCGCTGCCTTCCCCATTTCTCCCGGGCAGCGTGTTTAGCTTGTGGTTGCCGCACACTGCGCAGGGACAATAATTTTCTTTGAATACTGCCTTGCTAGAAAAAGCCCTTTAGTGCGAAGAGGCATTTCAATGGGCGATTAAAAATGGCGCACGTGGCAAAGGTTATGCCAAATAGATGCTGAACGACAGTAGGTTCATCAAGGAGGGAAGAACACTGCCACGGATATCCACCCCTGCGGAGCCTCCTACCCCTCTGTCCCTCTCAGACAAATGAGCCAGACTTAGTACCTTAAAAAAAGGAGGAGGAAAAGACCCTGGAAGAATCAGCTACCATGTTACTCAGAGTTAAGTGACTTGAATGGAACCAGTCTAATTCTGCATGGCTACGGCCAACCCACAATCCCCCAGAGAACTGCCTGATTGGCGGTAACACTAAGCTATACTGTTTAAAATCTGGCTTGCCGTGTTCCATCGCTACAAACAAGCTATGGGTTGTTAACCAGCTACAAGCTGCAAATGGTTTCTTGACGACTTGCAAAGTCCACTGTGCTTCTTTTTCCTTATTTTATTTTATTTCCTATACCACCCAGCAGCCAGAGCTCTCTGGGCAGTTCACAACAGCACGGTGTTTAAAAAATAGATAAAACACACCGTTAAACAGCATCAAAAAGGCTGACAGTACAAAATTTACACCAAGGTTTGCCAGGATGTCGGAAGCTAAGCACCACGGCTTCTTGTCTTGCACTGCTGTCTGCCCTGAGGCAGGCACCCAGCAAGAGAAACCCGGAAATGAGACTGCTCTGAAGGGTGGCAAACAGGCAGGAGAAAAGCAAAGCAAAACTGGGGGAGGCCATGGTTTATTGGCCTGGTGCAAGACCTGCTGGGATGGTGGATCGCTTTTCTTACTGTAATTCACAGTAAAGCAACATATAATGCTTAACCGAAACCATGGCTTAGCATTACCTACAAGCACAGCCAACATCCAGTGAGAGGAGGACATCAGAAGCTGAAGCACCCACTTGTCTGGTGCCTGAAGGCTGAAATTGTTTGCATTTAAGGGGCTCCTGGAATACTTGTTTTCAGCGCCACGGACTGTCTGCCATGCCTACTCTTATTCCAGAAAGGACATTGTTCAAGTACCATGTGAGCAAACAAATCATCAGTTTATGCCGTCATTCCTCGAATACGCCAGATTCTCACAGCACCTCCGGAGCATCATGTGCTATAACGTTGTGCCAGAAAAAATGGAGTCTTTGCTAAACCGGTCCTTGCGTGCTGTTGCAAGGCAACTCAAACACAACACTGCTGCACACTTGCACCACAGAGAAGTTGAAAAGGAGCCTGCTTGTTTCGTTGCAAGAACACGGCTTGCTCTTAGCGACATCAATCCACCCACAGGCCAGACAGCTACCAATCGCTGCTGAGGTTCAGTGCCCGCTTCTGGCTTGCCCCCTTGGAAAACTGGTTTCCCGCCTCCTTTTTCCTCAGCTCTGCTTCCCTCCTGCAGCTTGCCTTTCTAGCTTGTAAAACTGAAGGCAGATGGTCTTATGCGGTAAATTATTATTATTATTATTATTATTATTATTATTATTATAACATTTCTATGCCGCCCCTTGCCGAAACCTCGGGGCGGCTTACAACACGATAAAATACAATGAAATACAATAGCACATAATAAATTACCATTAAATACAAAATACAAAAAATACATTGGTTTACAAATATAAGATTAAAATTATCAGTATAACTTAAGTAAATAAAAATATAGGAGGAGAAAGAGAAGGAAGAAGAAGTTGCCCTGGCCAGATCATATGTTTTAACAATTCAGATGATGTTTAAATAAAAAGGTCTTTACCTGGCGCCGAAGAACCAGTAACGACGGTGCCAGGCGGACCTCTTTGGGGAGTGAATTCCATAGGTTGGGCGCCACCGCAGAGAAAGCCCTCCTCTGAGTACTTACTCTCCTAATTTCTTTCATGGAGGGTTCCCGGAGAAGGGACTCTCCTGCAGATCTCAAAGGGCGGTCGGGCATATACGGACGTAAGCGCTCGTTCAGGTAGCCAGGACCCAAGCCGTTTAGGGCTTTATAGGTCATAATCAACACCTTGAATTGGGCCCGGGCTTCAATGGGAGATATACTGAGATATACTGAGATACGGAGATAAATACAAGAGATATACTGAAACGCTGCTCTTTTCTTCCTGAGAAGCAGATTGATGTAAAGGGTTAGCACAAACCTTTGCAATGAAACCCGGTTTTTAACACAAATGTCTGAAATGGAACTCATGCACGAACAGGGCCTTTTCTTCTTCTTTTGGTGGGGTGGGAACACTGGCTGAGATGAATGGACAGTTTGCATTCCTGAACAGCACGTAAAGCTAACATGCCCTCTAGTGTTGAGCTACCATGCGGGATGTTTGTGCGACCAATTATCGCTGTTGTGCATGATCCCTGCGTGGTATTTTGCCAATATTAACTTGTTGCATTAGCTTACTTGTTGCATTTTATTTCATTTCCATCTGACCTCACTGTTTAGATTTTCTCCACCGGTCACCTGTGTTTAAATTCCTGCCAGGTGAGCCTAACAGGGAGGGTCAGCATCGTGCGGTGGTCTGGGACTGGGAGATCGGTTCTAGGCCCCACTCGGCCACGAAGCGCCCTGGGAGACTTTGGGCCGGTCACCCACTCTCGGCCTAACCTGCCTCACAGGGCTGAGAGGGTCGAATGGAGGTTTAGGTTCCTCACAAAGGAAAACAGGTGGGATGAAGGAAGCCACAGCCCCGAATGGACAAGAGCTGAGCGGGGCTGTGGTGGGTAGAACACTTTGAAGGGCTTCCATTATGTTTGTAACTCAGTGTATTTTTTGTATTTTTGTATTTAATGGTAATTTATTATGTTCTATTGTATTTCAATGTATTTTATTGTGTTGAAAGCCGCCCCGAGGCTTCGGCAAGGGGCAGCATAGAAATGTTATAATAATAATAATAACAATAATAATAATAAAGTCAGAGGCGCCTTGATGGCACGTCACAACAAGGTTGCTTCGTGTGTCTTACCGAGTCGTGGACCAAGGCGTATGCCACCCGCAGCCCTGATGCACTGTCTTTGATTTGGTCATCTTTTACCTTCCTGGGGAGGGAAAATGTCTTGTGTATATCTAGGGTGCGAAATGTGTGTTTTGGGGGGAAAAGTCTCATAACTCCCAGCCATCAGGACTACTCAGAAGTAAGTGCAGTGGGGCTGACTTCTAACTCGTGTGTCCAGGGCTGCCCCCTAGACTCTCACCTGGAGTAAATGCCATGGGAAAGGCGGGGCTCCCTTCGCAAAAGCGATGCAAAGGCGGGCGAGGTGCAGGCCGCCCTGGCTGGGCCACGTCGGGGTTGAAGGACTTTTCCGTCTAGGAGGGCAGGATTGCACCTTGAGGGATCGCTGCATTTTCCTACCCCCCGCCTGAGAGCTGGCGAACAGCGGAGAGAAGTACGTGTTCACGCCAGAGCCGAAAGAGTGGGACAGCATTCCCCGCCCTTCCCGATAGCTTCCATCACGCCAGCCAGCGCATGTATCACCATGTGTCGGACTACAAGTCCCATCAGCCCCAGCCGGCTCGGGCATTTCCGGCACCCATGAGGAGCGCTGGATTGCAACACTCGGCATCCGCAACCTGCGTGCCCATGCTGACGCACCGAGTGGGTGATGGACTACCACTCCCATCAGTCAGAGGAACGGTAGGTGGCCACCGCTCCCATGATCCAGCGCGCCCCGATGTGTTGGAAGGCCGCTCCCACCGCTCGCCACCCGCCCGCGAGAGGCTGCCCGGCCGGTCTCCGCCGCGATCGCACGAGGGCGCCGCCGACCCGCCACGAACTCCGTCTCCCAGAAGGCCCCGCCGGCCACGCGAGCTGCGCCTGCGCGCGGCCTACAATGCCGGAAGCGCCGGGCGCCCTCTGGAGGGGTGGGGCGGAGAAGGCCGCTTCCGCTTCCGGCGAGCCTCGCTCTGGGCCCTGCGGCTGGCGGCGGAGCCTTGTGCCTCCGCCATATTGTCTGTGTGAGGCCGGTGAGGAAGGCGGGCGGGCAGGCGCCGAACGAGTGAGCGGGCGGGACGTGGGGGTTGCCGGCGCCGCCGCCACTACCTCAGGTAACCGCCAGGAGCGGGGGGTGGGCGGCGGGGGCCGAGCGGGGCGCCCTCCGCTTTCAAATTGGTGGGGGAAGGGCGCAGAGAACGCGGGGGGTGGGGCTTCCTCGCCCCTTCCATCCATCCATCCATCCAGCGGCAGCCCCACGGGAGCGGGGGGTCCGGGAGCGGGCCCGGGCCGTGGACGGGGGCCTCCCCCTGGAGTCGTCCTGCCGGGGCAGCGGGAGGCGGAGGGCGGCTCTCTCGGCGGCTGGGTGGGGCTCGTGTGGGGCGGTGGCGACCCGCCGATGTGCTGAAAGGGAGCCTCCCTCCCTCGAGCAGCTGCTCTTGCGCTCCCGCTTTCCATGGGGAATGTCAGAATGGAGTAGGGCGCTCCCATGAAAGGTGCCCCATCATCACCGCTGAGGCTTCATCCCTCCGAGGCGGGTATGTGCTCCTCTGTCCCCCAACCAATTCCGAAGAAAGTGCTCTAGTGTCTTCTTTTGCAGGTGACCGGCGGGACTTGTGGGGTGGGGAGCATTTTGCCGTGGTCCTAGTGGAGGGCGGAAGGAGAGGCGTGACTGCCGGTAGGGTCTGCTTTTCTCTTTCCCCCAGTGTGTTGGGGGCTTTGTGTGGTCCCCACGAAATGCAGAGTTCCTGACACATGCCGTGGAATGGGGCAGCGACCTGTGTCTGCTTCCTCTGCCATTCATTTTTGCCCCACAGGATGGATTTAGGACATCTTTCTGCATTAGGCAGTGAACCCTCTCATTCCTGAGGTTTGTGGGCCCTTGTGCCTGAGCCTCTTCCAGATGGGTTGTAATACTTGTGTGCTTCTGTAAATTATTTACAAAAAGAGGAAAATCAAGGGTAGCTTTAATAATGTATGTTAATTGGCAAATTTAAAGAATTTGAGTGCAATAGTTTTCCGTATGGTTTTCTGCTTCTGTTTTTGTAAAAGGAGCACTTTGGAAGTGGGCAATAAATAGATTTCGTTCTCTCTTACTGCAGGTCAAATTTGCCGTCTGTTTCCGCATGTCCTCCTAAAGACGATAAGACTTAGCTTGTTGGATGAAACCAAGGTTTGTCTAATCTCAGTTTCCAACAGTGGACACTTACAAGCCACTGGTGTTCATTTGGAGGGCCAAGCCCTCTTGGGTGTTCCTCAATCAGCTGGTCTAACTGTGTTTGGAAAAGTGCTCATTTCCCAAAGAAACTGCTTTGAGAGCCCTCTCTGTACTTGGGGGCTTTATGTCTTTCACACGGAGTAAAGTTCTTGCCTAGGCAACTCTTACCACACATAGGAGCATTTCCTTTGTTGTTGAGGAGTGGTCTGTAGCCCACCAGTCTCCCAGCCTGCTGCCCTTTAGATATATTGGACTGCAGCTCCCATAATTCCAAACAAGGTATCTGGCAGCTGACTGGGATGTATAATAGGATAGGTATGATGTGGTACAATGAGTTGCACCTGCGGTGCTCGTAATTCTCCAAACCTGGAGGCTTATGAGCACCCACTGCAGAGCAAGGGAAGTGGTGGAGGTGATTGTCTCTGCTCCTCCTGTCCAGCTGCAGCACTTTGGGGAGGGAGGAAGAGGGCTAGTTTATTCTGTTGGTTACAATCTGCTTCCCCCCACCCTAGAACACTTTTTACCCCTTCTCTAAAGTCACTTTCCCATTCTTGGAGAGGCTGCAGGCATGGTTCTTTCTGTGAGGGGGAATCGCAATGTGGACCCCGAACTTCAAGGTTGGAGTTTTGTTTCTAGGCCTAGATTTGGGACTCGAGAATCCTATGGTTTCCTAGAGCAGAGATTCTCAACTTTTTTTGCTCGTGGGTCCTTGCATGGCCTCATTTACCTCTGTGAGCCTCCTCATAGTCACTGTTAGTTGGAAAATGGTGCTTAATGACCTGCACGGTGGCACTCTAGAAATACAACATGGCCCTGGGCAGGCCATATGGCCCACATTCTATCTATCTATCTATCTATCTATCTATTAGATTTGTTTAAGAGCCACCCATTAACTTCCTGCTCTCCGAGCAGCCATTTCAATACAAAATCAACAAATAACACTAATAAAATAATAGTTAAAATTGAGAACCGCTGCCCTAAACACTCAATGGGCCATAGATCATTTTCTCAAAAATTGATGGGTCATCTCACATACTAGGTTCATTCCTGCCTACTTCTGAAATGTTTTCCACTTTTGCTTCTACTGACTAGTTTTATTTTAAAGAGCTGCATCACAGCTTTCTCTGAATCATGAGCAACGAAGCTGTTCCTTACTCTGTACGTGAAGTGAGAACACAGAGATTATTATTATAATTACATGGGATGATAGCATCATAGAATAGTGGCATTGGAAGGGGCTAGAAGGCCATTGGGTCCAGCCCTCTGTTTGTTTGTTTGTTTGATTTATATCCTGCCTTTTTCCTACAAAGGGCTCAAGGCAGCTTGCATCTCCTCCTCCATCTTATCCCCACAACAACAACCCTGTGAGGTAGGTTGGGCTGAAAGACTGTGACTGGCCCAAAGTCGCCCAGTTGGCTCCATGGCTGAGCGGGGACTAGAACCCAGATCGTCTGAGTCCCAGTCCCACGCTCTGAACCACTACACCACACTGGCTCTCCAGTGTGAGTCTCTGCTCAGTGCAGGACTCCCAGTTAAACCATCCCTCTCAGACTGTGTTTTTATCCTACCTTCGTTCATCTTAGGAAGCACCCAAGGCAGCTTACATGGCTCCATTGTAACTCCTGTGAGGCGGGTTAGCGTGAGACTGAGTGACTGGTCCAAAGTCACGCAGTGAGCCGCACGACTGAGTGGGGACCAGAACCTGGATCTCCCGAGTCCCCAGTCCAGCACTCTCACCAGCACATGTACTCATACTCTTAACACCAGCAACTTAGAGCTCCTTCATCTGCTTATGTGGGGGGGGGTTCTCCTCACTTTTATATTGGGGAGCAAGAACAACATGTCTAGCTTGTAAACACCATGCCTAAAATTGTAGAGCCACAACCACTTTTTTTAGAATCCAGCCCTTTGTGATGAGGGGGAAATGCTATTCCCTAAACTTTAAGCATCTTGAGGTTATTTTCCTGTTAGATATTTGTATGTAGCTGGTGGCTGTTACCTTTAGCTGTTTGGTGTCTGCCTTATCCTTGCAGGAAAGCAGTGTTGCTAGGTAAGAGGCACCTTTTGCCCATCACACGATGTTGCCTCTGTTTGGCAACATACTGGAACACCTTTGACATGACTCCCTAGGAAAATTCTGGAGCGGATTATAAAGCAGTCAGTCTGCAAACACCATGAAAGCAATGCAGTGATTACTAGAAGTCAAAATGACCAAGGAGTCAAGAACAAATCCTGCCAGACTAATCTGATTTCGTTTTTTGATTGGGCAACCTCCCGGATGGATGGTAGGCATGCTTGTGAACGTGATCTTTCTTGACTTCAGCAAAGCTTTTGACGAACTTACCCCCATGCCGTTCTGATCAGCAGACTGACTAAAAGTGGGTTAGATGGAAAAGTGGACCCACACTAGGCTGCAGCATTGGACTCCGAGTGCTCATCCATGGCACCTTCCCAAACTGGGGAGAGGTAACAGGGTGTGGTCCTGGTTCCAGTGCTCTTTAAACTCCTTTAGTAGTGATTTGGATGAGGAAGTGCAGGGAACAATTATCACATTTGCAGATGACACAAAACAAAACTGGGTGGGGTAACTAATACCCTGGAAGACCCTGGAAGACAGAAAGAAGATCCAGGATGAACTTGATAGGTTGGAGTGCTGGACTGAAAGCAACAGAATAGAATAGGGGGAAATGCCAAGTTCTGCACCTTGGAAAAAGAAAAATGCATCATTACAAGGTGGGAGATACTTGGCTCAACAACACTGCGAGTGAGAAGGATCCTGGGGTTGTTGAGGATTTCAAGCTGAATATGAGTCAGCAGTGTGATGTGGCTGCAAAGAGGGCAAATGCTATTTTAGGCTGCATTAATGGGAAGTGCCAGTTCCCCTTTACTTAGTACTACTTCTCAGGAGGATGATCCAGGGACTGGAAAGCCATCTGAGGAGAAAGTGAAAGAACTGGCCATGTTTAGGCGCGAGAAGAAAAGACTGAGGGGAGACAGGATACGCTTTACAAGTCCTTGAAAGGCTGTCACAAAGAGGAAGGCCAGGGTCTCTTCTCGGATATTTGTTTAACGTCACATGAGCGTTCTGAATGGTTTAGAACATAAAAACACAGATAAAATGCAATGCAATTTAAAACAAGTGCACCAGCAGGAGCCATGCACAGGGGCCCTTCCTCCATAATCTGTCATCCTAGTGCCTGATAAATCTGAGGTGTTAACTCACCACAATAATAACAAAAGTAATAATAAATTAATACAAATACATATTAAAATAACTAATATAAAATAATACAAAATGAAATAATAGTAACAGTGATGGTCATGGCCACAATTAAAACTACGATAATTGCTAACTGTGACTGCTGCTTAGGACGCATTAAAAAAATAAATATCCAAATAAAAATGGATGAATCAAGGAATTATTAACAGTTAAAATGTAGGGCAAATAAAAATGTCTTGGCCTGGTGCTCAAAAGTACACCGCAGTGGCGCCAGGTGCACCTCTCTAAGGAACTGAATCCTGGGTTGGGGCGCCACAGCAGAAAAGGCCCTCCCTCTTGTAGCCCCCCTCCTAATTGCCAGTAGAGGCAGCTCCCAAAGGAAGACCTCCATAGCTGACCTTAATGGCTGGGCAGGCACATGTGGGTAGAGAGAGAATCCCGAACGTGGACTAATGAACTCAAGTTACAGGAAGCCAGATTCCAGCTAGATAGCAGCTAAAATTTTCTGACGGGTGGAGCGGTCCAACAATGTCCTAGGGATTTTGTGGGCTCTCCCACCCTGGAGGCATTCAAGAGGCAGCTGGACTGCCATCTGAGAGGGATGGTTTAAATTGGAGTCCCACCCTGAGCAGGGGGTTGGACCTGATGGCCTTCTGGGCCCTTCCAACTCTACTCTTCTCGGATTTTATGCTAATTTAGCTTGTGGAAGCAAGAAGAGATCATCTCTCTTATTTGCTAGGGAGGAATGTAATTTGCCACATTGGAGGTTGTATTTCTGTTATTAAGAAAGTTTTTCCCTTTCCTCACTATTACTGTTACCGGACATACAGAGCACACATTTTATGTTTGGTTGTATATGTGTCCATGGTTGGTTTTCAGTCCCTCTGGAAGCATGATCCCACTGCTTAGAGGGCCCGGCCCTGCCTAACTGCCCGTGATATTTCTTGGCCACTGCCTGCTTAATATGCACATGTCTGTGGCTTGGTGGAGACGGTAGTTGTCTTACCCATTGCCAGGGTGGGGGGCAGGAATCTCCTGGCATATATGGGCACCAGCTGCTGGCTGAAGACAACACTCTCCCCCCGCCCCGCCTCGCCCCACCCCTTAGTTGACCTGCTCCGTTGTGGGTTTATTGCTGCTTTAGTTAAGAATCTAGTTGGCTGCTCATGAGCAGCATTTGAAGTGGTGAGGGCAAATTTTAGATTGAGGTTGAAAATTTAGGGCATGTTAATGTAGGTTTTGGGCTGTTTCTGCTTTTTTTACATGGCTATAATAGGAAATGCGGTTTGATAAAAGTCTCGTGCTTCTGTGAGCCAGACTGAAGTCGTGGGTGTGCTTAGTGTGGTGGGCTCCAACTTCTTTCCCTTGGAGCCAGAGTTGCTGAGCTGGAGAAGCCATGAGAGGCAGGGGAGTTGGCTGAGTAAGAAGGCCCTTGTGGACCATGTAGCCAGGTCCCAGTTCCTGGGTGACGGCTCTTCCGTGCTCATGGAGAAAGGGGGTCTTTGGAAGGAGGGCATCATTCTGAGGAAGAGGCAAATGATTCCTTAGAAGGGCCCCTTTCTTGGAAGAAAAGCAAATGTCTTCTTGCACCAAAGATATGTTTGCGGGGGGGGGGGGGGGGGGATTCTGGCAGTGGGAGATGCAGTCATTACACAGCTGTAGTTGTGATGGGTGCGTGGGCCCCACGCTAACTTGACCGTCTGGTTCTAAGTTTGCAGATACCAGGCACCATCTA